TGAGTCAAGTTGTACTATTTCCTGTTTGGGCGCACGCTATTGACACGCTACAAACTGAAGTATCAAAATATAAGAGGAAAGTCTGAAGAAACAAGCTTTACTAAGGTTTTCTCAAAAAACTGACATAACTCTCTTCATCGCCACAATCGTGAACGCGGAGAGTTATAAAAAATGACAACTCTCTAACATCTTCATAATGTTAACGAGAGAGAGTTACGTCAAACATAACTCTCTCATGTTAGTTCAAGGAAACGTCGGGAGAGTTACGAAATTGGATGTGGTCATTGGGGAAAGTGGGCGTGGTTTGGGCGTGGTTCGAACATAACTCTCCGAAATCATAACTCTCCGAGATAACTCTCCGGTTGGTAACTCTCCCTTTAGTCATACCCAGCGAATACATCTTGGAGTACATCTTGACCAACTTCTGTGGCTGCTTGTAATGCTCTTTTGCCAACAACTTTAGCACCTTGTTTGAATAGAGGGATAGCATATCTCTCAAGCCTCTTAAAAATACCTCCGATCTCATAACCTCTTTCAAAACGTGCATCACGATATCCAGCGACATTTCCACTACGTTGTTGTCTCAAGAAATGGTCTCTCAATAGTTTTTCGTCTACAATAAGTGTACCTCTAGGCATGTTGATGTGTTCAGGTCAACTTCACACAGTCAACTGATCAAATATCACATTGTTCGCCTATTTTATGGTTAAAAGACCGTTCTGATATCTATAATTTCACCTCGGCGACAATGTGGACAGCTGGTGATTACATGCGTGAAATCTACTTTGGACACTTGAAGATTACAGATCATACAACGACACCTTTACAATTCGGATAAAAATCTGTCCATGTGCATACAGGGCATGTACTCAAATGGGAGATGTATATATCTTTGTTAGTATAAGTAATAGCATGGCTTCGAGTGCAATTTGGATATAACCGGCATGCACGAGTGAGTTTTTCAAAGACCTCAAAATAGCACGAGTCCGAAGGACGAGTGCTATTTGAGGTCTTTGAAAAACTCACGAGTGCATGTTTATCCAAATTTCACAAGAAACCATGCCATTACTTATTAATAATTTACATAAAAATGTTCGAGACAATTGTAGTTTTAACTTACGCGTTTTATATAGCGAACATTCCACTAGCAAATTTTCCTGGCTTTGTTATATCACATTATACAACGCTAAAAGGTTGAAAATTCCACTCAACTATGTAATTTTTGTTAGTCTTGTTTAAGGTAAATGCTTTTCCATTTAAAAATAAAGATAAAAGCCATATTTTTCACGCGAAGGCAACTTTTACTTTGTGTAGCGCGGCGCCATGTTTGTTTTGTTTTGAAGCAATCTGTGACCGTTACTTCTTTAAACTAAATTGTTTTAAACTGATTGGTTGATTTAATCATCACAATGTTTTTCCACCAATCAGATCAGTTTGTTACAGATTTTTGCACTGTGATTACAGAAAATTTCACTCTGATTACAAAAAATTGCACTGTGATTACAAAAAATTGCAGTGTGATTACAGAAAATTGCACTGCTGTTTCGGATTAACTGCAATGAAATCAACCAATCACAGTCGAGTAATATCTTTATGTATATTATTACAACTATTACAAGTTGCGTCAGCATCAGGTTGTGTATCCTGACGGGACCACTTGTGGGCTAACACAGAAAGGACATCTCCATTTACGATTAGACTTTTATCAATTCCCAATTCTGGAAGACCTTTTATAAACATGCTTAATCAGGTTGGTTCGGGAATCTGGATGATAAGGCGTCACACAATATTTCGGAAGCCGTCTACAATGTCAGTTCCTCGTATATTATCTCCCCTGTAAACGATTTCTCCTTTTCCATTCCAAGTCAATATCCCCGTAAACGTTAAAATAGAATGAAGGATTTCTTCGGCTTCGTGTTCATCATCAACGTCAAGATATTTAAGAATGTCTTCAAGTCTCCACTGTTCAGGAGAGGATCGTTTGTCGCTATCCATGATTGGAATGAGGAGATGCCCTTAATGCTAATTATTGCTGCCGAAGGCAGCATACTAATCTTCACGGTGCTACTGTTGTGCCCAGTTTCTTTGACCGAGTTATAAGTATTGGACGTGAAATCTCGATTTTCATCTTATTGAGGGGGGTCAAGGGGCGATCATGTCGGAAATATTCATCGTACGTTACGTCACAGTACAGCACACGACCAGTCGACCACGTTGCCTTTTTGCTGATCACACATCAATCAGTATAGTATTCGCCTTTAAAAGTTTTTTTATGGCAAGTTTAGTCGTTTGTTAAGAATAAATTATGTCTTTAGTTGCTCGTGGAAGTATTCATCAGGGCCACGAACTCTTTAGTGAACAATCGCGAGGTAAACAATACTCGTTTATGTGTTTATCGGCGCTCTTAACTGCTCAAGCCAATGATGCCCGTTTTTCAGTGGACCACAGGTAAATTAGATAATACTTCATAGTTTGCCTCATTGGGCTGTACTTCATAGTTTGCCTCATTGGGCCATATTTCTGCCTTCATTGGGCTGTATTTCTGCCTCATCGGGCTGTAATTGGGCCTTTATACTGGGCTGTATTTGTGCCTCATTGGGTTGTATTTGTGCCTCAATGGGCTGAATTTGTGCCTCATTGGGCTGAATATGTGCCTTATTGGGCTGTATTTGTGCCTCATTGGGCTGAAATTGTGCCTTATTGGGTTGCATTTGTGCCTCATTGGGCTGTATCGGTGCCTCATTGGGCTGTATTTGTGCCTCGTTGGGCTGTATTTGTGCCTCATTGGGCTGTATATGTGCCTGAAAATCATTCGACCATTGGACAACAGTCGGTAATTCATCGATTGACAAATATCTCTCACGTGTAATCAGACCAATTTCAAAAGCATTTCGATACATACTGTCTCCTTGCAATAAAACACTGTCTATTGTAATCGAGTTAGAACCCAATGAGAAACAAAATAATATAATGAAACGCAATTGTTGGAAAAGACACACCCCCCTGGTTCACAAAATTTGAGTTCGAGAATTTTTTTATTATTCTACATTATAAGTACCCATACATCGAAAACTGGATACTAATAGGTGTTTTGCGAAATTAAGAGCAATTTCAAATCTGTTCAGTTTTTTTTATACACCCTGTATAAGGTAAAAAATTAAAAACTGGCAGAGGAAATACTGCTAGTGAAAGAATTTAAAGATTGACGGTTTCTCACTCGTTCAGGAATGCTCAGTACAGACTTTAAGTTTTAACCCCACTGTAGAGGAAACATTTCCTGCCACATTAGATATTTGGACGTGGCAGAATACATGAAGCCTTAATTCGCTGGCGGAGGTATACAGCTGGGTTAGGCGATTTTATTACTGACATTCCGCTTTCATGGGTTTCCGCATATTTCTGACTGGAAAGCTTGGAAATTACGCAGCCGAGATTTCGAAAATTTAATCGTAAATATATAGAAAGCATCAAAATTGCTTGCACGTCATGACGTCATATGACTGTAAAATACAACATATTCTCCTGTACGAAAACCCCAGTCTCACAAAATATGTCAACAGCGATCTTCGCATTTATACCACAAATGGCACGCGCTACAATAATTGAAATACTAAATTGCTAGATAGTATACTTCAAAATAAGGTTTCCGTTTTTATAACGTAGAAAAAACTATCCTAACGCAGAAGTAAACCCTAACCCTAATACTACCCCTACCCCTAACCCTACCCCTAACCTTAACCTAACCCTAACCTAACCATAACATATTTTAAAAATTGATATAAAAACGGAAACCTTATTTTGAAGTATACTATCTAGTATCTAGCAATCGCCCTAATTGCCCTAATTACTATACACTGTTATTTCACAGTTCACTATAGTGTATCACACGCCGAGACAAAGGCCATATTACGGGGTAGTAGAGCACTCGCATCCCACTACAAATTTATTCATCGCGCATTGAGACAAACTATTATCGGCCAGCTCATGATTACACAGAGCAGTTTTTGCTTTTCTCTGTCTCTCTTTTAGTCATTCTGCTACAAACGAAGAAAGACATGAAGAAACGAAGGAAGGACATTTGCGCCATCTTGGTTTCCGCCTTCCATCACCTGTCTGGACCACTCCTACGTCCTAATGGCTATGAACTCTCTACGTATATAATATGAACTATTTATGACATAATCTATACATTTTATTGCCTGAACTACATATGTATTGTCTACTGTGCGGTGGCGTTCTGCTTTGGATTGCGACAAATTAATTATGATCCTGTAGTTCCCTTATTTATGCTCAAAAGCGTAGTTTCATAAAAAAAGGGAAAAAAAACAATAAAACAAATAACGCGTACGTTAACAGAATAGCTTAGTGGTGTCTAGCGTGATACTGACATTTCTTAATTTTGTAAACATAAAGCTATGTGGGGAGCTGCTGGTAGTCTTGGCCCTACCCAGGTTTTCCTGTACTGCAGGTTTTTTCCTGGCCTCCCTGATTATATTATCCAGCCGTAGCATAAGTGTTTGTATCTCGTGGACACCATATATTTAGTATTTGCGCAGCACGCCATCATTACATACTGATAACCCACACATCTGTACCATACTATAAATACTTCATATTAACTATCTGTAATCTTTTCCCGACCAACATGCTTCACGTGGGGGATCTACACTTTGTTTCGATCAGTGGCGGAAAGTGGTGTCCACACGGCCACACTTCGCCCACGGTGAAGCACACACCGGCAAAAGAGAGCAAGGTCCATAACGGCGGGGGCTTTACCCTCGTCCTAATCTTCGCATCTCTCGGTCACTTCACCACGGGGAAGACCGGCTCGGACATGAGATTCAATTTCCATAACGATGAGGGCCCTTACTCTCACCCTGATGTTGTTTCTCCAGCTTTTCTGGGGGCCCTTACCCCCAAGAAACCGCACTTTCCGTCACCCAATTTGGCCACAAAGGATTTGCGTGATTTATCAATTCCCATTATTATCAGAAAGAACAATGATGAATCTTGGTATGATTAAATACCGCGCTGAGGGAGAGTTTGTGAAGAAAGTTGACGCGAGAGAAAGTGATGACACAGGAAGAAAGTGTAAACCTGAAGATAAAGTACAAAAAGAAAGGCTCAGAAAGATCTTGCAGAAACATAGGAAGATGTTCCACGGCATAGGGACATTAAAGAATCCTGAAACAGGAGAGTCAATCTTCACACACATCGAGATGAATGTCGATGCAAAACCAGTCATACAACCCCCCAAGACCTGTACCACACCATCTCGAAGAAAGAACCAAGATGAAATTGGATTACTTCGTTCAAGAATGGATAATGACTTGGACTAAACAAGGAGAACCGATTTCATATGCTAGTCCACTTGTGATCACACCTAAAGGAGATTATGATGTTCGCATCACTGCAGACGTCCGAGTGGCAAACAAAGGAGCAGTGGCGGCGCCAGGCTTCCAAATTTGGGGGGGCATTTGAGGGGCAAACTCAAATTTTGGGGGGGCAAGATAGAATTTTTAAAAAGGTCGCCCCCCAGGAAATTCGCCCCCCCCCCCCTCAAAACGTGGCGATATTCCTAGAAATATTGCCCCCGGGGGGCGAATATCCTAGGAATATCGCCTCCCAGGGGGTGGGACGAATACCCTAGGAATATCGCCCCTCTTTAGGACATTCGCCCCCCATATATGCGATGTGGTTTATTCAAATAATTTCGTGATACTTTCATCTTATTATTGCCTTACACGTTTGAGAATTTAACTCTGCAAAACTAAAGCTTTTTTGTCTTTTTTTGAAACGTATCATTGGAGTATTGGCAAGTTTTACCATTCAGAGATTTACAAACTAATATTGAAACTGTAAAAAACAGTTTCATGTATACGCGCATTCACTAATGAGTAATGACAACTTATAAGCCATACATTTTCCGATAACGACAGAACGCTTGTGTAGCCTTTAGTCGCTCTTAGTGACTAATAATTTTTTTTGAGGGGGGGCAAAATGGGGGGGCAAAAAATAATTTTGGGGGGCATTTGCCCCCCTTGCCCCCCCCCTGGCGCCGCCACTGTTTATGCTTAAGAATTGCAAAGTGATTTCTTAGGAAATTCCGAGGTTGCGTTTTTATTGATACACCCTGTACATTACACTGTGTACAGGGGGTCTCAAAAAAACCGCTACCCTTGGAAATTCACCATTGTTCTAATTTGAATGCCTGAGTGCTATCTTGAACTCATGGGTGCATGAACAATTTGAATGGACAATAAGACAATAAATACTCTTTGCTCTGTGCTCAGTCGAGCCATTTCCTTGACATTCACTAATATGTAATTGAACGATTTTCGTGCAGTTATACTTTTGT